TCTTCCACCTTTTTAGCTCTTTTCATTTGTCATTGAAAGACAGTATCGTGATGATGGAATTCAGGACATGCTACTCCAAAATATATCAACTTGACAGGTGAGAAAACAGCAGCAGCAGAAAGGACACTCTAACCTTCTCTTACCCGTTCTTCCCTGAAGCCGGCCATAAATCTTAGCTGACCTTACACTCCAAGTAGGACCTAAGATCCTGATTCCAGAGGGGTTCTCCCTGTTCTCAGAGGAGGACAATGTCCTCATGCCTTAAGACATAGAGATGCCAAGAGGAATTTGAAAAACCAGTCCTTGCTAAGTCACCTCCCTAATTTATTACCATGATACCCCCTTTGGCCAATCATAACTCTATACAGCTTCCACTCCTACCCATATAAATACACAGATTTCTCTGTTTCTTTGAGTCTTTATTTCTGAAGACATATGTCACATAAAATTTATATTCAATAAATTTGTTATTTTTTTCTCTTGTTAAACTGTCTTTTGTTATAGGGGCCTCTGCAATGGGTGAGAATTTTTTTCTCCCTATTGGAGTTAAATAATACCCCAAAATATAGTGCCTTGACATGCTGAACAGAAGCAGCCTCTCAAGATCTCTCCGACTCCCCACCTCCCTACAACCTCCTTTCAATCCTTTCTCTCCCAAAGCTCATGATGAAGTTGTTCTCTGAAGTTCCCTTATTAGCCTAAAGTCTGGACCTGCCAAAGAAAACAATTACTTCTGGTCACTTCCTTGAGTTTTCATTAACTGAACTCCCATCATAGGGAGCAAGACTGAAGTCTGTCAGCACACCTGAGCAGCTTTTGTCAAAACCATTGTCTGCTCTGTGGGCCCAACAGACTTTGTCCCAAGCCATATTATATGTTCTTTAAGTCCACTGAATTCCCCTGAAGATCATTTACTGTGTCCCCCCAAAATCATTCATACCTCCCATCTCCCTTTCCTCTAGGAAGAAACTATGTAACCATGTGAACCCCTTTGCATGGTGGGGCAATCACTTGGTGATTCTCCCACAGGCATGCAAATAAATTTGCATGCCATTTCTCCTCTTACTCTGCCTTCTGTGAGTTTAAGCAAACCTTCAAAGGGCAAAGGTAAAATTTTATCTTCACCCCTACATCCCCTATAGTGGATATTCTTCACTAAATAGGTACTTTCAGAAAATCTGTGAAGAGTATTATTTCTGATACCAATGAAAATTATATATTAATATTTATTAGAATGCAAGGTCTACAAGGAAAACATCAAAACTTAATCATCACAGAAGTAAAGCAATTGGGAATAATATAGTTTAACATTATACATCTATCCCTATAAATCATATCACTTCTTAAACATGACTGAAGACCACTTAGTAGCAAAAAAAAAAGTATGTAAGCAGCCAAGCTGGTGTTTATTTCTGATTTTATCTATTTATTTATTTAATTATATTTTCCTTGAGACAGAATCTCTCTCTGTTGCCCAGGCTGGAGTGCAATGGTTTGATCACGGCTCACTACAATGTCTGCCTCCCAGGTCCAAGCAATTCTTATGCCTCAGGCTCCTAAGTAGCTGGGATTACAGGTGTGTGCCACCACGCCCAGCTAGTTTTTGTATTATTAGTAGAGATGGGGTTTCACCATGTTGGTCGTGCTGGTCTTGAATTCCTGACCTCAAGTGATCCACTGACTTCAGCCTCTTAAAGTGCTGAGATTATAGGCATGAGCCACCATGTTAAGCTGTGATTTAAAATCTTAACTGTGTTTCTAAAGGTGAAGGTTCTCACCTGTGAGGGTGGAAGGGCATCTACTTACAGATAGATGGAAACAATATTCATAATTATGTTTGGAAGAATAAAAATCCATGTATGCCTCAGCCAAAAGTAACTATAGAAAATGCTACTGATTGTTTAAATATTGGAAATAAAGATCAGTTTTCTAATCCTAAAAATCTCCTTGCACCCAGAATACAAATTGGAAAGATAATTAAATACTGTTAGCTGTCATATCAGTAAACATTAATGATTTAAAAAAATCCTTGATTTGAAGAGTTACCATATCATTCATGGCACATTATTAGTTTGACAGAGTTGCCATAACAAAGTACTATTGACTGGGTGTCATAAACATTACAAATGTATTGTGTTACAGTTGTGGAGGCTAGACGTCCGAAATAAAGATGTTGTCAAGGTTGGTTCCTTCTGAGGACTGTAAATGAAGGGTCTGTTCCAGGCCTTCCTCCTTGGCTAATAGGGGACTATCTTCTGTTTCCCTTCACGTTGCCTTCCTTTAAGGTGTGTCTGTCTCTGTCTCTAAATTGGTCCCTTTTACAAAAAAGTCAGTGAGCCACAAACTAGAAACCACCCTATGATCTCCTTTGAAGTTGACTACCTCTCCGAAGACCACATGTCTAATGGTTAGGACCCAACACACCTTTTTTTTTGGATGGGGCATGACAGAGTACATAATTCAACCCACAACAGTATAAAAATCTACAAAGTTTCTATGTTTTTAAATTTTTAAGTTTCTAAGACCCTAACTTTAACATAATATGGTAACAAGTGTATCAAAGAATTTTCCACGGCTTTCAACATTCAAACTATTGATTTCAATTCCACTTCCTCCAGCCTTTCTATCCATGAATAATTTGGAAAAATGTTGATGTACTGAGTTTCTTTTTTCTTCTTGGGAAAACCATCTAAAAGATGTAAAGCCAAACACAATCTTAAAAAAAAAATTACCCTGATGACAAAAGTCCCTTCTCTTTTCCTTGGAGCATTTGCTTTAGAAAACTTATAATTGTAAATCCTTTCGCTGTCAAAAACTTGTAACTGAAAATCCTTTCTCTGTTACTGAGATGGATGCAAATCTCTGAAAACCTGAATAAACCTCTAGCCAGTTTTGCATTCCAGGAATGTCCTTCTTGTGGGCCTTCCGGCTACCTTTTTGAAATGTGAACATCAAGGAAGAAGGCAACTTGTGTCTCTCTCTTTGGGAGTTTAGCCTAGATACCTGGTTTTAAATTGTACCTTCTTATTTGCTGCAAATATGTTTTTATTTTTTTCTTTGGATAAAGAGATGTATGTAATTGGCATATATACCTCATATTTTTCTTCTTTTTCTCTAATGCAATAAGCACACAACCATGTCAACAAAAATGCTCACAAATACTGAAAAACCTACAATTATGACCTTGCTACATCAACTGACTCGTCAACAACTTAATACACAGAATAAAATGTTTATTAGTGACAATATCAACAAACATAAAATGTGTAATTATGTTTTTAGTACCATTTATTTGAATACTAATTATATGTCAAATGCAGGGCTAAGAGTTTTGCATAGATTATATACTATAACCTTTATAATGACCCTACTATTTAAAATAGCTTCTAACACTATTTTCCACATAAGAATCCCAAGGCTATGAAATAATTTATCCAGTTTTCATTCCTCAAAAGTAGTGGTGAATTGGGCCAATCTGACAGCAGAGCCTGGCTTCTTCATCACGAGATGATCCTACAACATGCCAGCATGGAATTCCTGCTGGATTTCTTATTATTTGGTTTGCTTTTGAGTCTGAATCAATTTAGCCCTGCTTGCTATCTTTTTTTATGCTGTTGAAGTGATGTGGCATAGTGGTAATTTTCTGTCCTGAAAGTCAATGGCCTTACGTTTCCCTTACAGAATTGAACTGGTGGCCGTATAATCTTGGAAGAATTATCTATTTAGTCTCAAACTCAATTCCCACATCTGGAAGCACTGCACAACAACAATTTCCCTGTGGCCACAAAAAGCAGGGTAAGGCTCTATAAACATTCCGTGTGTGACTAGCTTTGATGAAATCAATAGATGAGGGTGCAGACATAACCTTACTCAACAATATGTTCCCCAGGAATTAGGACAGCATCTGGTTGGTCATAATTGGTAATCAAAATAAATAATTAAAAAATATAAGGCATCATTTTCTCTACCTCCTATATTGTGATAAGAAATGAAAACAGCCTAGATTTAACATTTTCCTTATTTATTTATTTTAGAGACGATATCTCACTCTGCCACCAAGGCTGGAGTGCAGTGTCATGATCATAGCTCACTGTGGTCTCCAACTCCTGGGCTCAAGGGATTCTCCTGCCTCAATCTCCCATGTCACTCTGATTACAGGCATGAAGCACCACATCCAGGTCAACACGTTTTACATGTATAAGACTGGGTCTTTTTTTTTCTTTCACATCTAATTCTGCCAGTAAACTACTATTTAGTAGTAAGTCAAAGCTGAGCGCAAAAACCATGTACATCCGCACTAAACCTATATACTGAAAATGGAAACCAAATCTTTCTGACAATATAATATTACTTTGGAATTCCATTGTGTCTATTAGCATTATCCGGATCTCTTTCCAATCCCAATCAAGTCCCTGTTTTGAAATATCATCATTAAATTAAATTCCAAATCTCAGTAAACTTTGACCTGGTTTTCCTCCCTCTGAGACCTTGCCAAAGCTCTATTGAGGCAGTCTCCCTTACCGAGGTAAGCGATAAACTTAGCTTTACCTCAGGTTGTGTTGGTGATATGTGGGAAGCCAGCTTTCAACAAAGTCTATAGTCTTCTAAGACCCTAAGGATTTTTGGAAACTGCAAAGCCCTGTGTAAAGACAGATTTCATGACATAGCAAACTACTGATAATATTATCAATATAATTGACATTATAAGTGAGTACAGATATTTCTATTGCATTTAATTCCTTCACGAATCACGTTTTTAATATATACTTAATAATAATGGAACAAAATATCTCCATCATATTTACCTGTGATATAAATTGTTCAAATCTATCAATTTCACATTTTTAAATAATTATAAACCAGAATTTCATCTCCCAAATATGAATTCAAAATAGCATTTTATTTTTACTGTCTCATGGGATTTCCCGTTATATATTTACATAATTATTTTTTGAATAAAGATGGTTAAATCTAATTTACTTGATAATGTGGGGTCTTACCTTTTCCAGTTTTGAAAGAGCAAGAGAGTAACAGTCTTTGGCTCTGAACTGCATGAATCTCATGTTGGCTGGGTGAGTAAGCTCTGTGATAATACTGAGACTGGAAAACAACCTACATTTCAAAAGAACAATTGCATTTCACTAACAATCCAATATGCTTTTTTTTTAATATAACAACAGATTTATGAGTAATTCCTAGCCTTAGGCATAAAACTATATCCAATTACAATAGCAGACAATGCCACATAAAATCTTCTGTACGATGCACGAAAAAATGAAACACCATTTCCTCAAGAATATTTTAACAGACATTTTAACACAATAAGAAAAATAAATTCAGTAATTTGGCTTTTATTAGACATTTTCTCTTTACACTTATGGGACAGCATAGAAGAGAAACTCATGAAGCTGACTAAAGACGTTACAAGGTTACTTTATGGATGGCACTGAAACAGAAATTTATAAAGATAAATATGCTGATTGGCAAAATTTCACATAATGAGCTTCTTGTCTATTATGTGAGCTCTTTCATGTCCTATGGCATTCATTCTCATAGCATGCAGTTTTTAGATGTCAGATCTTGCTACAACAAACTTCTGAGGTGAGGAAATGATTTATACAAAATTTCATTGTAATGAATTGGGGCCAAGCTAAAGCATCGATAGTGTTCTCCAGAAGTATCCTGAGAATTTTTTCACAGGGCCCATGGCTTCACATGAACTTTCTTCCCATTTGACACTCCCTCAAAATATATACCAAAACGTACACACATACATACAGGCTCACACAAGATTTCCTTCCCCAGAGAAAAGGTGCAGGATGATAACACAATAAATGGTTTTTATTTTTGCTGTTGCCGATGATCTGATCCTCACCTGATATCTATGCATCCCTGATTGCTTGACTTGTTTAAATATTTTGGTATTGTCTGTGGCACCCACTTCTGTGATAATCAGCTTTGTTTTCCATATGCATGATATGTCTTTACACTAACTTACGACCACTTAAAATTCCAATCACTAGGTTGAATCCATACCTAGAACTCAGGGACCAGACTGACTGCAAATATGCAGAATATAAACAGCCTGTTTGTGAGGCTCAGGAACAAATCAGCTCCTGCTGCTCTCAATTTATGCTCATTCGGTCAAGTGGGTGCTGTTACTTCCATGTGCCCGAGTGCTTGATGTGGTACATGCTTCTTTTTTAAATGGGAGCTCTGTCCCTGAACCCCAGCACTACAGATGAGTTTTTACCTTTCCTCAGGTCTAACTCTGGAAGGAAGGCTGATGGATGATGTGTCAGGACTGCTCCCTCCTACTGAGGAGAGTAGGCCTTCCCTACTGCCTGCAGGGCCTTTCTTGGCCTTCAGCCCAGGCTTCTCTGACTATCTGCCTCTCAGGTTTGTTTCCATTGAGCTTTAGTCACCATTCCAGTTAAGACAGTAACACATTCTTAAAAAGAGTTGTGGTTTTTTTTGCAGGGTTATCAGTGAAATTTAGACATCCTCTTGGCCTTTGAGAGCTAGGATATTATTGGATATTCTGTGAAATCTTTTAATAAAAGTAAGAAATATAGCCAGTATTATATGGATTAATCTCTATTTTGAGAATAAATACTATTATAGTTCTTGATTTAGGTAAATTTGAATAATTGTTATTGAAATAATATCAGCAAAACAACCAGGATATAATTTCTTTTGCTGAATTTAATGTTAAAAATACAGTAATTTTATTTGTGCAACTGATAATGTTCTCAATAATTCTGTGACCTTAAATTCATTACAGAAACTCTAAATATCAGATTCTGTAGAGAAAGGATGTAGCAAAGCATGAAGCTAGTGGCTACCCACAAAAGGTACTGTCTTTTAGTTATAATGCTATTACTATTTTCTTAGCTTTTTTCTTTTCCCAATGTTATTTATACCTGAAATGCCATTTCTTTTCTGTTTAATTTTCTCCTGAATCTCTATATTATGAATTCACAACCAATATTTAAAGTGGCTCTCAAATCCAATCAAGATGAAACTTAAAAATTTTTTAAAGCTAGAATAATCCTCTGCACCGTGGCTCCCCACTATTTGATTTACTGATTATAATACCTGTCAGCCTCTACAGCATTCTGGTTGGTTTTATTCATGCCTTAGCTTTCCCAGTAGATCACAACATCTAGAAAGGCAAGGTTTCCCTCTCAATGCCTACGACCTTATATTCCTTTAATTAGTAAATCTTTGTTAAAGTAAACAATTACTCGATTCACATTTGTGCTTTTGAGATGAAATCTTGATGAAGAGGGTGCTGAATTGAAATAGATTAGCTTATGGAGAAACACGGTATTATCAATATTTCACATGATTTTCTTTTAGCAGCTCTAGTCTCACTCAAAAGTCACCCATGATAGTATATTCAATAAATAAAAGTTATCTTCTCAAAAACTCTTTAAAAATTAGAAAAGTAGCCTGATGGAAAAAATGTCAATTGACTTTTGCGCTGGCACACTCCATCTGGTAGGCCTGGGAAATGCCACCAACTGCCAAATTTCATACCATCTGGGAGTTTCAAAGTATTTATTTCAGAAATATTTTAAAATAACAATGTCACTAAAGATATTCACCATAATATGATTGTCACAGACAAAATTCAATCAACTGTGGAAATAGAAAATAAAATGAAAAATAAGACAAAAATGAATCAATGAACACAAAGCCTTATAGACTCATGCTGACAATAAATCCCATATTCATGCACTGAACTTTAAAAAGAAAAATTAACCGACCTAAGTTTCTCCTCTTCGTCTTTTGCGTTTTTTTCCTCTTTGGTGGATAACACGGGTCCATCAACAATAATTATAAATCACTATTCCAAGAGTTGTCTGTGTGTTAACTCATGTAATCTTCACATCAGGCAGAAGCCCCCACATTTTATGTTTCCATCTGTACCCTCTCCTTCCCTAGGAAAAGCTGAGGGCGTCTGGCACCACCCTTACTCTGTCTCTTCAGTATCTTTAGATGTGTAGTGGTCTGTGCCAAGCCGTGAGGAGAGGTAAGCCCTGCAGGGCAAGTCTTGTGGCTGGCCATATGGCTCTTGACCACGGCTCTCAAGGGCGAATTTGAAAAGCCCACTTTGGCCTCTACCAAAGTCACATCCTCCTGCCTAACATTTTTATCTCTAGCTGCCTAACTTCTTTGGATCTCAATAGTTTCCAACTCATGTTAGAAATCAAGAGTGTCACATAACCTCTTCAAACTGCAGAAAACTACTCTATGATTTACCTCCAATTATTAAAGATGAGGAAACTGAGGCACAAAGAGACAAAATAACATGTTCAAGGTAACATTCTAGTAGGTGGTAGAGCCTGGGTTGCACCAGAGCATTAGGTTCTGAAGCTTCCCCTAACCATAATAATAAAGAGGAAGGTAGACCAATGTAAAGAAACACAGATGATCCAAATAAAATAATGTATTAACAATATGTAGCAACAGATTGGTATTTCATATATTAAAAATCCACTCTTTTAAAAATAATATTTTATAAATTACTTCCACTTAGCCTTAACAAGTAATTTTCAAGTTTTTACTATTAGAAAGTTCCGGTCTCCAGGAGATAAACACATCAAGTAAGATTCCTGACTTTAAACAGTATAACATAATAAATGAAACAATAAAAATTCACAAATTATAAGGACATATGTATTTTTCTAGGGGTGATAAACTGTGGCTGACTGAACACTCCTAGATGAAGTAGCATTAAGACATTAGTGAATGGATAGCTTATGAAGAAAATTTAGGACAGTGTTGAGATAGATATAAGGCTAGAGATGAAATTTATGAGGAAAATGTAGCTACAATGGAACTAATGAAAATTGTGTTTAACTTTTGGAACATTTTTATTTCCCTTAAAAACATGGTTTTTGGCCGGGCAAAGTGACTCATGCCTTTAATCCCAGGACTTTGGGAGGCCAAGCTGGTGGATCACGAGATCAGGAGTTGAAGACCAGCCTGACCAACATGTGAAAACCTACCTCTACTAAAAATACAAAAATTTGCCAGGCGTGGTGGCACACACCTGTAATCCCAGCTACTTGGGAGGCTGACGCAGGAGAACTGCTTGAACCCAAGAGGTAGAGGTTGCCATGAGCCGAGATCGTGCCACTGCACTCCAGCCTGGGCGACAGAGCAAGACTCAGTCTCAAAAAATATATATATGTAGTTTTTATCTTTAATACAAATCAGTACTCTCACTTTGAATAAAGGTCTTGGTTACTTAGATTGTTCTGGATATCATCCTTTTATGACACATTTTATCAAATAGAACTATACACATGTATGTAGCTAGAAATATTTGGGGTCTTAACAAGAGTAAGTGAAAACATGATAGGATGACCCAGTCATTGTATTTGAGTGACTTCTGGGGTTGAAATTAAATAGGACAACATAATTTTTGTGATGTACCGCCATTTCTGTTCTACATAAATTAACCTATAACATTTATGTTATTTTGAACTGAGAAACTGAATGTATTATAGCTAAGCCTGCCACCTAGTGAAAAATCTAGAACTAATATTTATATAATGAAACACTGTATGCTAATGCCCTTTATATCCATAGACTATTACTTGCATTCGGTTATAACACGTTATATTTACAAATTTGGTTGTCTAATAGATTTATTTAGGTTCCTTTGAAACACTAATACTGTAAATCTATTTCTGGGTCTTAAAATGAGCGAAATATATTTTGCACATAGAACATTTTAGAATTAAAATGACATAATAAGTCTCCTTTCCCTGGGCACTAAAAACATAATAGAGCAATACTGTAATTAAAAAACATATACAGTTTGTTCTATTTAAAACTTTTTACAAGTATTTTGTGTTCTGACTCAGTGATGTAAATATAATTGTCTAGATATGTAAGATATCCATGGAAGGGTTCTCTGCCAGCATTAATTTATTTAACAATATTTTTACTAACCAACATTAAGATGAAAAACATATCATATATTCTGTTTCACAGACTAATGGGGGAACTCTGAAACTAGCTGTCTCTGTATCATAAAGCAAAACACACAAACATAAATATACAATCTGGAAAATGTTTATGATACTTTATTCAAA